CCACCTTTATAGGTATAACCTGTACACACACCTCAGGGGGTACAGCAAGCCCCAAAGCTATGGAAGTCAAAACTCAAACCTACATCTATGAATTCCAAAGCTTTTGCCATTTCAGTAACCTCATACTGCCTCTCAAGGGGAAAACAGAATAGAGTGGGAAAGGGAAAAATACCAGCTCCCTGATCATTCGCTACGAGTTTCTGCCGATTGCTCAGCAACCCTAGACTTTAGGGCATGGCTGCTCCATGTAATAAGGTGTGTTTCACAAAGTACCCTATTGGGATCATTGGTGCATGCTACTATATTATGGAAAAGCTTTCCTTTCATTTCAGTGCCTCTAAGTGAGAGACAAATGTCTCTACAGATACATTTTCTCTTTTGAAGAAGGCTGGATGAACTCTAGAAAAAAACCATGTAGTCTGTACTTTTTTGGGGGGCGGAGGGGGGGTAGATAAAGTGACAAATCACCTCTACAGAATACCATCACCTATCGGGTCATCGGAAAAGAAGTCATGACGTTTTCTATATTTTTCTTTGCAAAATGCATCATGACCCTTCAGACAACTCAATACTTTATAAAGAGTACACTATCTGAATGACTACGGATTTCTGTGCTTAGAAAACCATGACGACACCTGATAAAGAAAGAAGGTGTGAACCCCCTATCCTCCAGGGGAGGCAAACAGATAATAGCTGGTGAGAAAAAGTCTCTGAGTCCGACAGGACTGCCTCCAAGTTCCCTAATCACCAGCTAGCTGTGTGGCCTAGGATTTCAGCTTTTGAAAAAAAAAATCGTTTTATTTTATTTATTATTATTATGTTTTAAATCTGAACAGAAAGAAAAAGGGAAAGTGAGAAAGCAAGCCACTAGCTTTGGGACTCAAACCATGGTCAGCCATGTGCGCGTCTGGTGCCCCAACCACCATGCCACCTGCTGGCCTGGACTTCAACTTCTTTGTGCTAGGAGAAAACCACTGGCCCTTCGAAGGCACCAACGAGCAGATGAGAACAGCAGCATGCACAAGCTCCCACACTTGCTAAGCTACCTCACAGGTACCCACTTGACCCGTCTGCCCGGTGGGACTTACCTGATCCTATAAAGCAGAACCGAGTAGCCGTTATTTCTCTGTTGGTTCCCATGAAGATGCAGTAAGCATCCGGTCTGTCTGTGTACTAGCTTTTTACATCACAGGAGCTGTCGAAAGCTTGTGGACTTGGAGGGTAAGGGCAACAGCAAAGCAATGGTTCACTAGAGAAAAGGGGGATACTTAACACCCTAAACAACACTAACTTCTAAAACAAACTCAGTATTACAAGCTTAAAGTCTCCCAAACAAGTCATTTTGGCTAACAGTATGTGTAATTAAAGTTAAAAGCATACTAAAATAACACTTTAGCTGTTGACCTTAAAGATCCTTTTGAAACGCTTAACTAAAACGCTCGCACATGAAGGAGTGGCTCTGACTTTCTGTCTACTAAAGAGAACATCACGGGCAGCATTGCCTGCTGCGGTTGGTGGTTCAAATGAAATCACAGACAGAATGTTCACACCGAGCTACATCAAATACAGATGTCATCAATCCTGCTTTACACACCTGGGTTTTACTAGTTTGGAACTTAAATGTCTTCATTTCAGGTTGGTAATTGGAAAGGGATGAGAAGTTCAGTTGTGTCGCCCTCCCCTAGTACTCCCAACACCCAGTGCTCCAGTCACCAGATATCTAAAAACCTCATCATTCAGACAAGAGCATTATTCAAACACTACAGCATCAGCCAGAACTCCCCCCTCAGTTCTCACACACACGTGCATGCACGTGCACACACAGACTGGAATTCTGTTGCATTTTTTAAAAGAAGGAAACAATGAAATGTTGATCGCTATCACTTTTGCATTATGTCTCATGAAAGGAAGGATCTCAGTTTTGCAGAGAGTAGAAAACCGCAGTTCTAGCAGCATGAACAACTAGTGATCCGCAGCAGGAACTTCACTGCTGATTAGATGATTGGTAATGAAGAAATAAATCATCTATCTGTCTAGTCACCAAACCCCTCTTTTGTTCTTACTGGTCTTTTTAACTCAAAAGTAACGGGGAAAAAAACCCTTTGAATCACGGTGGTGATCTGTTTTCAAAATTTATTTAGCAAATACATTATAGTTCATTGCAACGGCACGTAAGTCCCTTATAAAAGTAACAGGGAAAAAAAACCTTTGAATCACGGTGATCTGTTTTCAAAATTTATTTAGCAAATACATTATAGTTCATTGCAATGGCACGGAAGTTCCTTATAAATCATGTGCGGATATAAGTGCTATTTAAACTTGCTTTTCAGTTTAGAAAGATACTGTGCATCTTTATGTTGACACTCAGCTTTGTTCTGTAACTATTAATATCACACAAAATAACTTCAAAGGCTGCAGGAAGATGTGGCCAACACTAGGAAATAAAGGGAAAGCATCTATTTTATTTTAACTCCAAGCTCCTGCAAATCAGAAAGACTTCGGCCATCGCTCAGCTGTCAGAAATCTGAGAAGGCTTGGAGCCTCATGGAGAACTCATTGAGAAATCCCTCAAGTGCGATTCATTATGTGGTATTTTACAGACACTCATCCTGGTGGAAAGAAAAGAGACCATAACAGCCCTGAGCTAATTTCGTCACTTTGTATAAGAATTACTGAAGTAAAAGGCAATTCAGGGAGGTAGGGCAATAACAAAACAAAAGTCCAGACCAAAACCAAGTAGAACAGTTACCTCCGACTACCAAGAAGTTGTTTTCAAAGCCCAGTCTCAAGCATCTTCTACTTAGAAGGTTCAGCAATGAGACTGAATTTACAATTTGCTGCTAGTTCTTTAAATGTTGGGGAGAAAGCCGGTTTGTTACAGTTGGAGGCCCCCACTAAACCTGTACTTATCAAACCAATCAGAAAAAGCACAGCGCAGTAACACACAGAGCAAGGGCAACTCCGCGCTGTCTGTACCTCGCCTTCCTGCAAAGGAGTCACAGCACCATTTCCGGCTCAGGTTGACAGAAGGCACAGCAAGTCAATAACCACAAGTTACACCGTCACATCAGTCTCCCCCTTCTGCATGCATAGTCAGTGTTAGGTGCCTATTAACATGCAGGGATATTCCACTAGATATTTTTAAAAATATATACCGAAAATATACAGCATTCATGAACCTGGTTCAAAATGACAAAAAAATGTTCATTTTAACAACAGGCTCTTGTGTGAAAGCCTTAATGTTTTAGGGTCATAATGAAGCCTTGGAAACATAGGAAATATTTTCCATTTTTGACTGTTAGTGGCCAACGAATGCCAGCACTTGCCTTGCTAAGAGTTGGTGACCAGAAGTGGTTCCAACATGATACCACGCCACCGCCTTACACCACGCGGGCTGAGAAGGTTGCACAGAGATTTTCAGAAAGTGGCCCTGCTTGGTTGGCCTCAGGCTTGCCAGATACAAACCTCCTTGACTGCTGCTTTTAGACTGTGCTGGAAAACACAGGTTGCTTCAGTGAAAATCAGCCTGCATCACAGAGGCTCCGGCAGGGTGTGACGAAAAGGATGCTCATAGTGCCTCCCATTCCCTGCAGTCTGCACTATGCTTTGCTAATCAGGGAAGACACCAAACACGTGCTATCAACAAACTGTTTTTAAAATGCGTACTCGCCTGTTTCCAGACTTTGCGGTCATCTTATAATGGAACAGAGTGAAGCTGCCATATGTTAAGAGCCGGTCACACGAAAGTACAATACTTCTACCAACCTGAGGTAGACACTGCAAACTCAGGATGAACACAAGGAGCTCTGAGTGGTTTACTCAACTCCAAACCAATTAAGGCTGCAAAACCCTGGGTCCAGGTCAAGGGCTGAATACATTTCCTACATACATATGGCATTTCCTCAGGCCTCCTCCTGCTGACAGCCTGACACCAAAGTGGTCCCATGGGAAAACTAACCTTCCATTCCGAGACTGGGAGGGAGGGGGAGAATTTAACCCAAGTTAACTACTCCCCCCCCTTCATTAAACAAGTCTGTGGTCCTCCCAACCATCTAGAAGCACACACACAAAATACTGGTGCAGGTATCACCACTGGAACCCTGGTTTCTTTGCCACCAAGGCCAGCCTGGGCAAAAGATTAACCTGTGGCCCTCGGCTGAAGGTTCACCTACAGGGCCAACCCTGGAGAGACAGAGCCAACTTTCTGTTTGTTTTAAAGGAAATACTTCCTGGCACATGTTTAGGACTCTGAACCCTGCACATGAAGCCACGTGGTTGGAGCTAATCTGGCTCCATCCACTCACGATCGGCCAAAGCAAGCTCTTCCCAAGGGCAGCTCCTGGCTAGGTAGTCACACCACCTCGCTCAAGTCAGGCGGGTTCCGACCGGATTGCTGGAGTATCCTCAGCACAGCAATCCTTCTGCGTGCTCAGGGTCCCAGAAGAGCAAGGAGGAGTGTGACAGGGGCGCGAGGTGCCCTTTTTGCAGTGGGCAAGAGGGGATTCACACCCACGGGGCTAAAACTGGCTCTAGGACTCAGGCGCAGTCCAGGAATCAGAATCGGAGACGCCTGTCCTGCGGCAAAAGCCGACTCTGCCCGAGGCAGGGAGCGGGGCACTGAACCGAGATGCCCACCTGTAACCACAGCAAACTTTCCTCCCCTTCTGTCAACAGATTGTCTTACGCCACCCCCTGGCCCGAGCTGGAATCGACCGAGAGCTCCGCGGGCTCCTCACCTGATACCCCTAAAACCCAACCTGGTCTGTCCCGAGCGCAGTCACCGCGCTGCGGGCGCGCGGGGCTGAGGGTTGCGAGGTGATGGCGGGAGCGGCCGGCTGGGGGTGAGGCATCTGAAGAGAAGGGCGGGAAGACGCCGTTCCCTGCCCTCAGCTCTCCGGCTCCCGACTGTGCCAGCCACGCAGCCTCTGCCCCCCGGCTCCCTCAGCGTCCCTTATTCAGTCCCGGGGAGCGGGCTCCCCAAGCGCGCCCGGAGCACTTACAGCCATAGCGGGGTCTCTGCAGCGATGGCGGGTCTTCGTGGGGCATCCTGCGTGGCTCCGGGGGTCCGCACGGGCTGCGCCCCCCACGGCTCCCCTCGCTGGCCAGG